GCCTTCCCCTTGGTACTGAGCTGGGGGCACTGGCTCGGAGTTAGGGCTTGGGGTCCGGGGTGTCCGAACCAAACACGCACACATGCACCGGCACCAGGAAAACGCAAGCTCGGCTCATCCCTGTTGGCTGCGCAACTGAAAATTTGTTCCTTGGCGTGTGGGGCCATGCCTGTAACTGAAGGCATCACCCCCGACCAGAAGCTGGCGCAAAAAATCTGTTTCGAAGTTGTTGCCCACGCCTGGAATGTACGCCTGCGCCGACTCGCGAGGCAGCAACAACAAACAACCAACACGGTTGGCAAATGCGCCTTCTTCCCATCAGTTTTCTGCTGTGTCTCTCAAGGGGACTTGCTGTTCAGAACGTCCATGTAGCCGACACTGTCCACACAATGTTTGGAGGTGTGGGGAAACGCGCCCCCAACCCTTTGCGCCGAAGCGCTACGCCTTCGTCCGAGTCTGGTTTAGTCGGCGTGAAACTTAGCGTGAACCCACACCCCTTCGCAGCCTCTTCACACAAAGCAGGTCCTTAGAAGTCCTTAGTCAGGCTAAGGTCCTCGGCTGCGAGGGAGTTGGTTTTCACAAGCGCTGTTTGCACTAATACTCCCGTCGTTGCGGGTGTGGTGTCAGGGTGCGTACCAGGTGCTAGCGGCCAAGGTAAGGCAAAAGGTGTTGGGTTCCCGACACAAGCAACCTGAGCCCCTTTCTACTTGTGCTGGGTCCCCTGACTCAACCGAAATACAGATGCCGTTAGGAACCTGACTGTCCCTCTCTCCCTCTCTCTCTCTCTCTCTCTCTCTCTCTCTCTCTCGCTCTCTCCCTCCCTGGCTGACATACATCCCTACCTACATACATACAAAGTACGACAGACACAGACACACACACACAGACAGACAGACACATACACATACACACACACACACACGCACACACACAGGAACAGACAGACAGACAGACAGACAGACAGACAGACAGACAGACAGACAGACATATGTACGCAAAAAAACCTACATCTACATTCGTGCGCACATATCCCTCTACATACATACATGCATGCATACATACATGCATGCATACACGCATACATAAATACATACACACGCATATATACATGTACGTATACACATATACACATGTACACATATACACGTAGACACGTATAGAGATACAAACGTATACACATAGACATATACATATACATAGACGTATACATATACATATACATGTGTGTGTGTGTTCACGCATGCATTTGAATAGGTGTATGTGGAACACTTTGAGTGCTTACATGCTTCTACTCTGTGTGCCCATGTACGTACGCGTATGTGTATAGGCAGACATGCCATACATGCATGCATGCACGCATCAATGAACGAAGGAAAAAGGAATGGAATGAAGGAATAAAGGAATTAATGAAGGAATGAAGGAGTGAATGAATGGCTGAATGAATGAGTGCACGACTGAACGAATGAACGAATGAGTGAATGATTCAATGAATGAAGCCTGTGCGAATAAAAGCGTGTAATAATGCAATTAGGTATGTATGTAAATAAGCTTGTATGTACGTATGCATGCATGCATGCATGCATGCATGCATGCATGCATGTATATATGTATCCTTGTTGGCTTGCTTCTTTGCTTGGCTGCACACACGCATTCCTGGGTGCATGAATGGATGGATGGACGGATGGATGAATGGATGTGTGCGAGGATGCATGTACAAGATGTATGCATGCATGCATGCCCGCATTATTGTACACATGAATGCATATGTGTGGCAATGTCATATAATGTACTGTAACGCTAGTGATGTCATGTCATGTCCTGGCCTGCCATGCTACACCATTTATACGCCACATGCAGTTACATGCATAGGTATATACGCACACGTGGACGATGATGTCTGAGGAGCTTCCGACAAGAGACGCATTTTATGTCTCCTGATGACCAAAGCAGCCGAGAGGCCCAGGACCAAGCCCATCATCTTGGCAGACGGATCGTTGTTTGACAATGCAGTTTAGTCCTAGCAACTGCCAGTCTAGGTTTTAATACGCCTGCTGTTACCTGCTATTCGATCCGAGCCGCATGGAAGGAACGGCTAGTGGTGCAGTAATTAGTAGTGGATAGTGTCGCTCAATTAAATTTAAACTAAAGTTAAACCCCATGAGAAAGTATCGATGCGAACGGCCATGAGAGTCGAAAGGAGAGTCGTGATGCAGCTGATCGTAGTACTGACTACTCTAGATAGCTGCAGTATTGTCATACTGACAAAAGCTACCGTATGTATGTATCAAGTGCTACGAAATGTCCCGAGCAAGACCGGAAGAAAAGAAACCTGCAAAACGTAAATCAGTGCAGGACAGGCTTGGCAGTCATGAGCGGGCCCTAGTGAAGTCACAAGATGAGATAGGCGCTGTGTGGCAGAAGATGTTGAAGGACGTACCGGATTTGCTCCAGCACCTGCGTTTTTGGTCTTCAGTCTCTGTCTCTCTCGCTCTCTCTACCAAGCAGTCTCTCTCTCTCTCTCTCTCTCGATCTCTCTCTCACTCTCTCTTTCCCTCCTTTTGTTTGCTCTTTTCCTCTCTCTCTTCCTCCCTCCATCTCTTCTTCTGACTAGCTCTGCCCTGCACATCCTTATGCAGCTTCCCAACTGGCTATGGCGCTTCACCACAGCTCACAGTCGGCACGGTGCCCGAAGTGGGCTCTTTCCTGTTTCTTCCTTCTTAGCGTGGGCACCTCCGCCTGGTAAATGTGGCACCTCTCTGAAGTTTCGCCGGTGCCTTCCTAACCTTTCTCAAACATGTGACCCCTCAGTCTCTCTTTGTCTCTCCTCGCAGTAGCTAATCAGCTTGTGTCGGTTTCCTTGGCATGGATCCTTCACTAGCCTTGATCTCCAACAGAAATCTAAGCGACCGAGGGCAGCCACTCCAAAGGCGCGAGAGCAAACCAAGAACACAGCCCTGCCACACTACAGCCGTTTATGTACCATCACTGACTAGCTCACTAGCGAGTCCAAACTCAATGTCCGACGTCCGAAACGCCTATCCGACACCCCATCCCAAAAAAACATCCCTGGATGATTACTTCTGGGAATGTCACGCTTGCAGACCATTCCAAAGTTCGGCGGCCCTCCAATTCAAGGTCGCTCTCACAGCAGGCAACTGCTTCCGCACAGCGGATCCCCAGCCGCGAAATTTCTGTGCAGGGCTCCAAAATTCTTACGAAGCTCACAGCACCCTTCCGATCTCAGGGTTGTGCCCACGACAACATCTCCGGCAGCAGCGGCATCTGTTCAGAAAGGCTTTAGCGCAAAGGGCGTACTTCTGGTTCAAGTTTCCGGCTTGCCGGTCAGTGTTGAGCATATACCACGCACGTGGACTCCAAATCCTCTGCAGAACAGTTGCTCGAGCCTCCCTATCTCATTCCAGTCGGAATGCTGTTTTCCTAAGGCAGTTCGCAGCAAAGCTGCAAGTCAACGATGGAATCTGACGCTGGAAACGTCCTGCTATCATGTGCAAACCAACCATGCGACCGTGTCCAACAATGCTTTAGACTGCGGAGCCACTTGAGTTGCAGCCTAGAGTATACTCCTGCGCAAGCACCCAGCCGAAACAAAAGCGCTTCTACATGTGCGGGTTTCACTGCAGATGGAGCAAACCGAATTCGGCCTGGAGCTTTGTTGCGAGGGCGTCTTGGCCTCTAGGCCTGGCAAGGGATGAGATTCTGGTGCAGAAGGTACTTTCCAAACCGCCCGAATCTCCCTCTGAGGTGTCGTGCATTCTTGACACAGGCTGGATTGGAAATAGTTGGAACTGGGGAGTCGCATCCCACGATAAACGGTAAGCTGTCTGACCAAGACACCAGACCAGAAAGCAACAGCTTGGGACATAGCATGGCTGCTACTAGGGCCTTTCTCAGCTTGCTTGGCTCGCGTTAGACGATTTGTGACCGGCTAATAACTGTACATGCCGAATTCACAGATGGAAGCAGCGCGACGATTCCACATCACCTGCTGCACGCCGCAGCATGCTCAGTACGGGTCGTATCGATCCCGCTTGCCCTTTCCCTTCCCCTTGCTCTTGCCGGAATCATAGCCACCGCCGTAGCCACCGCTGCCACCATCCTTCAGCGTCACATTGGTTGCCTTGGTTTTGCCACTTCGAGCGTCTTCCTCAATGTCGAAAGACATCTCAGTTCCGACAATCATGTCGTCAGAGCTTCCATTGGTCAACTGAGAGAAGTGGACGAAGACATCGCCGGAACCATCCGAATTCTCGATGAAGCCGAAACCCTTGCCATCCATGAACTTCTTCAATTTTCCTGTGTACGCCATGGCTGGAGCCAGGCACGATCTTTGTTGGCAAGGCTTGAAAGGTAGAGGCTAGCAGAGGAAGAACGTATGACGTATCACTCCTTGCAAGCTGTCAAGCTCAAAGACATACCGACGGCCTGTGAGCCTTCCTACCGACAGCGTCCACGGCTGCAAGACCCCGAACCCAGCAACGCCTCCACTCTCGTGGGGGTGGTGGTCCTCATCCTCCGGAAATGCGGCTTTGGCAGCTGTTGCCATGTCGGGTTGCTTTGGGAGCAGCATATTTCTGACTGAAGGGAATAACACTTGAGAGCCTTGGCAACCTCGAAATGTCTGGCAGTCCCGGACTCTACTCGGGTCCGCATCGAGAGAGACGATGGAGGCTCGAGGACTGATCACCTGCGCCGGGAGAGCGGGTTTCTTAATGTCTCAGCAAAAGCTCGAGACCTGCGGAAATCCCTGGCAGCATGGCTATAACAATCCGACAGATCCTGCTGCAGACTCAATAATTGCCGAGTCTGGCTGCGAATGAGAAACTCAAGAGGAAAGCCATCAGTGAGCTTCTAGCAGATTCTAGCAGACTTCGCAGGGGATGAGAAGTCTGGATGATCCGTGCAGGCCTGTTACAGATGCAGCAATGTCAGTGTACTTGTGGCATAGCAAGCCGGGAGGAGTCAGAAGCTGCATGGGGATTTCAGATTAGGGGACGCCCGCAGAGACCCGTACTTGGCAGTGTTGTAAAGGAACCCACAAGGTAATGCCTGATTTCAAGAAAAACCTCCGTATCGAAGTTAGTTGCATGCCCCATGTCTGCAAAGAATCGCCCTTTGACATGTCTCGCCTCCGAAGTCGGTGAGAGCGTCATAGTGTCGCTGTAGGCCGCCAGCTCGGCGAAGGCATACTGCACAGGCTGTTTTGGATTCGAGGGATTAGAAGTCAGGCTTGACATCAAGCGAGTTGGGTTTAGGGCTAGACTTGAGCAGGAAAGCCCCGATCTACTCAAGCGACAGCTTGGAAATCAAGAACACCTACACCGCAAACCTCAAACTTCTAAACCCTACATCCGAGAATCCCAGACCTCTCGGCTCAGGGACCCGAAAAATGCACGGAGCTCTCCTTTTCGAAAACACCATTATCGCGTAATATCGTTATCTTGACTGTGAGAATAGTGTTCCTTACCATGATATCATTCATGAATGAACTAGCTATTTGCTTTTGCCATGAGAGAATCCGTGCTTCTGAAAACCGGCTTGGTCAAGTGCATAGCTTCGAGGAGTTCAGGGCTCGAGTCCCGTTGCACTTCCATACACAAACCTTAGAGTCTTAGAGGACACACCCATCATAAGGGTGTTGGGAAGATTCTCACTTTCAGGCATATGAGGCTTTGGGACTAAGATTTGGATTTGCTGGGGTGCGACATTCGCCTCGAGCTTGTTCGGGTAGTCGCCCGTGGGGCCCTCAGCAGCGATGGTCAGTCAGAAATGCAAAAAATTCCATAGATGCGAGTTCGGAAAGTTTGCTTCGCATAGATAGCAGCCAGTATCCGACTGACGAGGATCGGCGCCCTATAACAGCCGAAGCCGGGATCACCTGTCAAGTTACATCGGCTTGACCGTCAATGCAGAACATGTGCTAGCTGAGATCAGTACAGAAACTTCCCGTGTAGAAGTGCAGTGCTGATATGCTTGCGTGCCAAGTCGGCTGCATAGGCTGCTTTGTAGGCCTTGAGGAGGTTGTCGTCATACTCGATCTTCCTTCCCAACTTGATGTGAAACGTAGCGAGCAGCACCCCAGAGACGGAGAGAGAGGGAGAGAGAGGCGGAGATTGTGGTGAGCGACTAGCGGAACCTCTGCTCGCTACCCGTCAGAAGGTTTCAAGACGTTGGCATCTTCAATGCATGCAAGAGAACAGCCGGTCCAAGAGCGAGAGAGAGAGAGAGAGCCAGACAAGCACGGGTACAGACACGGACAGAGACCACACACGCCTTGGCAGTACAGGCCGTCTGAAGTGCCAAAGACAGTGAGGGGCTCTCAGCAGGGAGCCTTGGGTGAGTTGTTGGAGGATTTTGCCGCCTTCGGCTAGGCTTCCTTGCTGCAGTCGTCAGAAGGCTACATAACGGTAGCCTACATGCCGAACTTCCGCGGAACCCACGTGACCCGGCTGGACTTCTAAGCTCTAGGTGACACAACCCTGAGAACTCAAACCTTGCCGGCTCTCGAAAGAAACAGGGCTTGCCCTGAATTACCCTCGACATGTACCCCGCTCTCCTCAGACTGGCAGTTCCCGCCCCAGCATCGCCCTGGCAGTTCTTTGACTTGGGGTACAACAGTGTAAGGGGAAAGATGTACTGCCTCTCACTCATACGCCACTAGCATTTTTCATGCCGGCTTAGGCTCGTTGATGAACTGTTCTCTCGTTTGTCTTTCTGCTGCGTAAAAAAATCGCAGGATTGCCGGGGTGATAAAAGGCACATTCTCGACACTTGATTTCACGTAGTACTGGTCTGGTAGATGGTTGAAGATCTAATTAAGCCGACATCTCATCCTCAGCACTCGGGTCATTGCTTTTGTTCTCAAGGACGGGTGCCACCAGTTGTTGTAGTGGGAATTGGTTCCGTCTTAGCTGTAGCCCAACCTGCGAAAGGGAGCAATGAAGCTGCATTGGTGCTGCTGCGCCTGTCTCCGCAGATCCCACCAGCGCAGGCTTTGAGATCTCTCTGATTCTGCCTCCACCGACAACAGTTTCTAACTTTGCATCTGGTATGCAGATGTACCAACCACACACATACCGGCAACAACAGCAGATTAGACGAATAAAGTCCGTCCTAGACCGCACTTCTGACTACGCAAGGCTCAACTTCTCTGTCTGCTGTGGCAGAAGGCTCCCCATGGAATTCGCTAGTCCTCGCTCGGTATAACATTTATGTAGCTCAAAACCAGGCAGCTGGCAGCAATTCTTGGCCAGCCAGCAGGCCAGCAGCAGCAGCAGCAAGCAGCACTTCGCACTGGGGGACTTACTTCGAGGGCAATTCAACGGAAACGAATCGTGCTTAGCATTTCAAAGGCCAAGACGACGGCAACAAATCGTACTTCTGAGCACTGGGGCGCAAGACAATTGCAACAAATCGCAGCATTTCGAAGCCAAAACCACGGCAACAACTACAACTAGTACTTGTGAGCTTCCAGTCCAAGACAACGGCAACAAATACGCTTCTCTCCATCTGACACTGTTCCGTGCAAGTTTTCTGGTCCCAGAACGGGACTCAGGGTCTGGCTTTTCTAGGACCCAAAAGAAAGTCAACAGTGTCGTCAATGGCCTGCTGTACGAATCGAAGCTGCATAGCCTGAACGGCTTCCAGGGAAGGGGCATATCAGTCTGCAGTCTTTCCTGCAAGGAAGTATCTAAGATTCGATCCCATTTCTCGGAAGAGTGAGAACATCAAACTGACCTACAACTTGCATACTCTCATCGAATCAGTCGCCTGAAGCATCATGCAAAGGACGTTCTTGACCTCACAAGGAAATGATCGAAATTCACAAATGCATTGCTACATCAAGCAGGAAAGCACACGGCGCTCGAAAGCCACTGGACTTGCACTTCTACTGAAACTCTTGGTGATCCCGAGTCTCATGCGGCGCGAGGGCAAACTCCGCAACCCTTCTCCGCACAAAAGCTCGGAGAAAGAAGTCCAGCACTGGGCTGACCGGCCCACCACTTGTCGAGCTGCGGCCTCGGCACTTCCTGGAACGGGGATCTCGGCCCCGGGGGTTGAAGGTTTGGGGTGTGGAGCTTCAGGCTTTCAAGTCTTAAGGAACCTAAACCCTACATAACCTCAAAACTCCAAACCAGGTTTGACGATAAGACATAATGAAGGGTTGTGTGTGAAGGAGCTTTGAAGGCTATGGGAGAGGTGCTCCTCCCTCCAACCCAACAATTTACCAAACTAATGACTTGGTGGTTTGCTGAGATTTCTGTTCCAGAATCCAGCCCTGCTTCCTTCTGAAGAACACCCCAGAAATATAAGCACCAAAGCCATGCAGACGTGAATCCTCCCGAACCCGACAGGCTGCAAGGATCTATGTAGGAGAAACCCTGAAGGCAAAGTACAAACCCCTGCAGACTCCTACTTGCCTCCCTGCCTGACCCTCCAAGAACACAACTTGAGTGTCTGGGATGGACAGGGCCAGGACATAGATGTACGTCCTCCGGGACGGGGGTCAACAAAACAGACACAGAACAGTTTTGGCAGAAAAATCTGTGCAGCACACTCGTGTTACATCATCCTACACTTCTGTTGACTGTAGAACCCTCGACTTGCAACAGCTGACAGTGCTGCGACTCCACCGACGGACTCTTCTGAAAGCATTGGATCGCTTGGGCTGCAGCCTCTTTCATCATTCGGGTCCCGACACGCATCTTCGGTCCTGATTGTGAAAAAAGGAAGATCAACCTCAGCGTTTGATTTGCAAGAAGCTCACAAACAGACGCAAGGAACGAAAACACTCCATGGAAAGCCGTCCATAAGTCAACAAAGCGGCCAGGAGAATGCTGATGATGGCCGAACGCTTTCGCGCCTGCCAATGCCCGGTCCAAGGATCCGCGTATAAAGACTGGAAAGTCCACTTACACTCGAAATTTGAGGAATATCTCAAGACCCTCAAAGAAGTAAATCATGGACAAACCTACATGTACTGCAAAGACAAACCTCTAAGCACCTCTTGTTGGTGCTGCTTCCTATCATCTTAGTCATCTCGTCGTCATCCTCCCCATCACCATCACCAGCATCACCTTAGCTATGAATGATGTTGGCACTAGCTTGATGATAACGTCGCTGACGAACCTCCCATTTAGCCACTCACCTTTGTGTATGTTTGCAGACAAAGCAGCTTCCAATTCCGGGCCTAAAAGAACCTTGGCTGCGGATGTAGAGTGGGAGCAAACAGCATCCCAGTGTAGCCACTCAAGCAGCCCTGCAAAGGCTTTCGGGAGCGACGGCACCTTCACCACATCCGGGGCGGCGAGCTCCTAACGAAGCGGGCGTGTCACACGACGGCTCGACTCGCACCCCCAAGACGAGCAGCCGCAGCAGTAGCAGCACAACCACCACGAGTAGCAAAGACGAAGGGTCAGCTGCAGAAGCAGCAGAAGAGCAGCAGTCATCTGGACATACTTCCGACAAGCTCTTGGGGAGAGGTGGATTATCTGCAACGTGACACGTTCCACACACATACATCTCTTCACGAAATCCGAAACAGTACATCCACCGGTTTGTTCTGAATCAGCATGGATGGAGGACTTGCAGTTGTTGCGGCTCAGATCGGTGTCATCATCGAACCACGAAGCTGTGGCAAGTCCTGCCCTTGTCCCGAAGCTCTCCTGGCTCTTGTTCGAACCGCCCTGGTAGGCAACACCTTGGAAGCGCAGAGATGCACCAGGAGGCCCGAAGCTCGGATCCGAGTGACGAGAGCCTGGACGGTCCTTCTGGGCTTTCACTATCTCCTGTCTTACACACCTGTTCGAAGCATCACGGTTAGTCAGTCTTGTAGGGCAACCGATAGCAGCAGGGACAGGCTCGAGAAGAGGCGAGCGACTCGGATAGGACTGCTGGTGGAAGAAGAGAGCCATGATGATGAAGGTGCCAGCAGCCAGCTTGATCTGCTGCACCTATCAGATTCCCGAGAAGGCCGAAGCGAGCTCTCACGAAGGACGAACCCCTAAACTTCCAAGTCATAACTTCCCGAATGTAAGTCCAATGTCCTCGACACCCAAGACGACACGGTCGCTTTTGGAAAATTCGGTTAGAGCTTCTCTGAATTGGGAGTTCGATGTGCGGGATCGCTACACTTGTTGAGGAGACACCTATTTTGCTGAAGACCATGGTCTGCATCACCAGACCGCAAGGTCGCAGTCTTAGAATCCATGCTCAGTCTTTGCGGCACAGAGTCCTGTGGTACTACTGGCATGTTGCATGTATGACAAGAGCCATACACATGGCGAATCCTGAAGTCAGTACCTAAACCCTAAATCCGAAACCCAAACTCTGCACTTTAAAGGAATTCCTCGCTTGGACACAGCAGGCCTCGTCCGGGTGCGACTGGGAAAGAAAGCCTCAAGTATGCATATCAAGCGTGCACACTCGCGTTCTCTCGCTCTCTCTCTCACACACACATGCATGCCTGCTGGCTGCTGGCCATTCAGCAACTTGCTGGTGCGATCTGCCATGCATGTCCAGGCGGAGTAGCAGCACTCGTGGCGCAACGCGGTCAATCTTAATCAGATCCAACCGACCATCACGCAACCCTATACCTGCAGCTGCGTACAAGGTTGAAACCTTGAACAACGGGAACGCGCTTGCATCGGCAACACAAAAGGCCACAGAAAAGCTCTTGGGAATCAGGAACTTCATGTGAAGGGGATTTTCCTGGCTGATGGTATGGCTGCTATGGACCGCCTCCATGGCGGGAGAACTGCAGCCTGTTCACCCAGGAACGTACTCGCGTGAAGCCTTTGAAAAACGAAGCAACAAACCGTTCCATCCGAGTGACGAGTGGACGAGCCCTCCCCGCTCTCCGGCGAATCCAGAAACATCATGTTGACAATATCGATCATGTCCTAAGTCCGGTGAACATGATGGCCGTCGTGGGACCTTTGCATGTTGTAACAAATTCGATGTCGACTGCAACAGCGCGCATGTGTGTGCGCTGCTACATCTCGAATCTTGCAGGGTTGCTTGCTTTCTGAGACTCCCACATCGATTGCCTCTGCGCGAATAATCTTCAAGCATCGAGGACGACATGACTGGGGTACATTCTCTGGAGCAGCGGCGAAATGTCGCTGGTAGGGGAGGCTGGAAGGCGAAGAAGGGCAACTGTGGTACAGATTACCTTGCCAGGCATCAATGACCACATGCCAAACCATATCCAGCAATAGTGCCACGTCGAGGGTGGCATAGTCTTGCCTGTCAACAGGTAGCCAGGTTTTGAAAACGTCAACGGGCTGGAAAGGCTTCCTAACACTAGGCCACTAGGCCTTCTAAGTGGACATTTTGACATGTAGAAGACCATTCCCAACCCAATCTCCTAATTATATCGCATGTGCTTTCCAACGAAAAGAGGTTTCTTGCTTGGAAATCGTGCTCTCCCTCCGAGCCCCCATCCAGCATTGAGGATAATATCGTCCTCCTCCTGTGCCGCTGGCCGTCGATCCGCGCAGCGTCCCCTCGCGCAGCAAAGACTTGTCCTGGCCCGGAAACTCTTCCTCAAAGCGCTTAAGGCCTTGAAATGCAAGCCCGAAACTCCTCAGCACATGGAGAACCAGAAACTCCCAAGCGCAAAGCCCTCAACTGTTCTGATACAGCTGGCTCAGGCCCGCACGCAAGGATCCAAAGGCAAGGACGGAGTAGAAAAGTGGAGTGAGCCACATGACCTACAGCTAATGTTGTTGCTTCTATTCCTTAATTGTTTGAGTGCAGTTCACGGCTTCAAGACATGTACATAGGGAGGGACTAGGGATCTTGCAAGACCAGGGTGGTGTCGTTTGAATGCACGATAGTTTGAGCCGGACCGTCTCAAGTAGCCTGTCTTGGTGCGTTTAAACCACAACAGAAGGAGATCCTTCATAGTCCATCGAAGAGACTCTTGAGATGCGGCCCGTGCTATCTCTGAAGCTGGCATCAAGCGCCTTCTGCGACGGATGCCAGCAGTAAACAAACCCCTACAGCAGTGGGGAAGCGTTGCCGCAGTTCTCTCCGAGTCTCCAACCGTCATGACGCTCCTGGGGCTAACCAGCCTCAGATGTTCGGCCACTGCTGCCTACCGAGGTGACGGAACGAAAGTATCACTGCGACGCATAATGATGACTCCGACTTTCATACGGTTGTCAGCACCGCGACTATCTGGCAGTGGTGGTCCAACGCCGACTAGGCACCAAGTGAGCAAGCAAGGCAAGTAACAGCTATTGCAAAATGAGTCGTGGAACGGTTTGCACTAGTATAGCTGTATTGCGATTCACACTGTCGCCGCGACAGCAGGTGAGGCCAGCACTAGTGACAGCAACAAGTTGCTGCAAGAGGAAAAGAAGCACCAAGATGCTGCAGTATCAGCAGGACCAGTAGCTGCAGCGGCAAGGGCTAGCGGTGGCGGTGGCGGTAGAAGGGTAGGGGTAGCTTTAGTGGCCGCGGAAGTGGTAGCAGCAGCGGTCGCAGAAGCAGTCGTGGCAACAGCAGCAGGAGCAGGAGCCGGAGCAGGAGCGAGAGCAGGAGCAGCAGGAGCAGGAGCAGCAGGAGCAGGAGCAGGAGCAGGAGCAGGAGCAGGAGCAGGAGCAGGAGCAGCGGCTGTGGCAGCATGAGCAGCAGAAGCAGCGGCAATTCGTAGTTCGTAGATCTTAGTTCGTAGCTAGAAGTTAATAGTTAAATCTACTAACTTCTAACTCAGTTAGTCGTTCCTAGTAGTCGTCGTCGTGTTGATTGGTTCGTGGTCGTGGCCGAGGTCGTGGTCCTGGTTGGCGTTCGTGGTGGCGTGGTGGCGGTGGTGGTGGTGGTGGTGGTATTGGTGGTGGTGGTGGTGGTGGAGGTGGTGGTGGTGGTGGTGGTGGAGGTGGTGGTGGTGGTGGAGGTGGAGG